GGGGGAGTAATCCCCGAATCATTATTAATTGTCTATGCCATGTAGGCGATGATCCTTAGGAACAAACATATAAGGAAATGTGATGTAAGGCGATGAGAGGTAAATACGATGTAGGAGGTGACCCTTAGGGAAGAATAAATAAAGAAAACGATGATGGGTAATCGGGTTAATTGTTTGACATGAAATATGTGAATAAACAAATTTACTATATTATTGTGGGTTGAAAACCCTATGTACTCATCAAGTTTCCCAACCTGACCCACTCAGTTTATTATATCACAGGTAGCGATATTAAAGATACATTCTGCTGAGAGATTCAAGGAGATGCAGATCATTAGTGTAAATTAATGTAAGGTCTGTTCATGCTTATGTTTTTGTATTGACGATGACATCCCAATGTTTTAATATAAATAAAATACATTTCTTCGTAAATGCTTTGATAATATCATTATCATGTTTTGTAGGAACAAATTCCGCAATATTATTCTTCAAAAAGGATACTCTGATTTTTAAATAAGCATAAACAAATCGGTCTTTTCTGGCCGTGAAATTGGGGATGTCACATGTATCGACTCGTACCCCAGACTAATAGACTTCAGTTTCTTTTTTACTAGATAATGTGAAAGGGGAACCTTGTTGTCTTTAGGAAATGTTGATTGCAACAACTCAAGGAGTTGATCAAATGAATTATCAGTCTGTTTGTTGTTCACCTTAATATGCATTAAATTTGCTAGAAACTCAAGGGAAGAAAAAGTGCAACCAGGATACAATTTAGTTTCTACTTCTTCTAACAACTATGTAAAATCATCATCCACACTACTACCCCTTTGTATTCGAGGTTCCCTCATCGAGGTTGGTATCATTTCTCTCGACTCCCACATCACATCGTCGATTAAATCACCCATTTCGTTACTCGGCAAGACGACTGGAGGAATTAAAGATTCATCAGGATAGATCCAAGTCGTGTACAACTTACTGAAACCATTTATAAATATATGACGTTCCACTGTTGTCGGGTACTTAAGTAACGGTTATCACATTTTTGACATGCACATCTGATTTTACCATTACTATCAAGGTGTGACTTGGACTTCTCAATAAAAGCTTTGAGTCCTACTTGGAACTCGGGATAGTTTCGATGTGGATTACTAGTCCAACTTTTATCAATAGACATGATGTTGCTGAAACAAAATTTTGGTTTTAGAGTTTACTCTACGGAAAACAAAAATCAGATAGACTATTCATAAAGTAGATGACTGAAAAAGTATCCCCTGAAATGGGGACAAAAATTCGGAAATAGATAGAGTATTGACAAGGGATTCAACAATTCCTTATCTCATATGTGAACATCCATTACATGATTGTATGTTTAAGAAAAATTCGGCAACAATTCCCCTTAGCTCCCAATTATATATATATATATATATATATATATATATATATATATATATATATATATATATATATATATATATATATATATATATATATACACACACACACACACACACCCGAAGAGAAGAGAAAATGAAAACCGAATATGTCTTAAACAAACAATCATGTAATATATGTTCACATCCTAAATGAGATAAAATACTCAAAAAGCAGTCCTAAAACGGGGACAACCTGAAATTAATTTCTAAATCAATTTCAAGCGGGTATCTCTAGGCTCATGATGATTACAAAGAAGACATAAATGAATAGAAGTTGGAAGAGTTTTTTTTGTTATTTATAGCATCTTACTTTTGTATATATTTTTTTATTTATCGTATTTGGTTTTGTTTTAAGTTTTCTATAACAAAAAAAAGTAGGATGCTATAATTCACAATGTCATTTAAAGTATAATGTTATAATTAAAAAAAAAGTAGGATTCTATATATAGCATCCTACTTTTTTTTAATTAAATCATTGTATTTTAAATGACAATGTAAATTATATCATCCTACTTTTTTTTCTTGTACTTCTTTCTGTTATACCAATGATTATTAAATGTAATTATAAATTATAAATAATAATGGCATGTAAAGTACAATGTTATAATTGAAAAACAAAAAAAAGAGTAGGATGCTATAATTCAAAATGTCATTTAAAGTACAATGTTATAATTAAAAAAAGTAGTATGATATATATAGCATCCCACTTTTTTTAATTATAACATTATACTTTAAATAACATTGTGAATTATATAATCCTAATTTTTTTTCTTTTTCAATTATAGCATTATACTTTACATGGTAAGATGAATTATAGCATCCTATTTTTTTTTTAAATGAAATTATTAATTACAGGATCCTACTTTTTTTTTTGTTTTTAATTATAGCATTGTAATTTTGAGATTTGCCTAATTAAATCATAACATTATACACACATACATTCTTGTTTGCATATAAATACATACATACATACATACATACATACATACATACATATATATATATATATATATATATATATATATATATTCATCATACACATACACATATACACATATACACAAATACACAATATATAGAAATACACATATGCATACATTATAACACATACATTATAGATTGCATACCAAAAACTACACATAAACATATAAAATAAACTCATAAACATGCCAAAACCCAATCAGACATATAAACATGCATATACAAATTCAATACAATCTTTAACTTGAAATTAGAACACATATTTTTTATGTGCATCATAGAGACATTTTTACTATAATCAAATACCCATAGTTTCACATACATATACCACATATATATACTTTCACATATATACATAATAGCATCTTACTTACACAAAATACATATGCTTTATATATATATATATATATATATATATATATATATATATTATACACACATACATACACCAAATACATATATTTTCACATACATACACCAAATACACAAAAAAACACTGATGATGAAAAAAATACACGATTTATACACACATATGCCAAATTCCACAGAATATATAAAAACTCACATATTTTGCAATAAAATATCAAAATTCAAAGTAAAAAGAACCTATGGTGGACATAATTTAAGAGATTGTGTAGTGGTTGGTGGTAGTCCTCAGTAGTGACAGTATACCTGACGGTGACCAAGACAAAACGACCAAAAAAACTGAAATTGACAATTATTTTGCAATTAATCACAAGATGGAGCTGGAAATCGATGTTACAGGAGAAAGAGAAAGAGAAATCAGAAGTTGAAGCTACCGTCGCCGAAGATGCACATGTTTTCATCGGAAATTGTTGTTCCCCTTTGTCGGTAATCTCACAATGGGGAGTTCCCCTTCGTCGAAATCTACTTGGTGGCCGGATCGATCGTTGATGGAGATAAAAGGGGAAGAAAAAAAAGCAAGAGCAGATGCACAAACGAAAGAAGTAGAAAGTGAAGATTTTACGTCGTTTTTTTTTTGTTATCTGCAAAGGCCTTTACCGGCGACAAACATCAACAACGAAGAGAATTCTAAAGGGAGGGTACCACGTCATTTTTATTCCACATTTAGCGGCGACAATTTCGACCTTTAGCGGTGACATAATTGTCGCCGTTATTCACTTTGTGCGAAAATGAACCCTAATTGTTGGATTAGATCATCAATCGAACGATTGAGATATACCAGAAGGTGTATGTGCGGATTCTGCCCCAAAGCATTACCGACGACGTTATTAGCAGCGATACCGGCTTTTACCGGCGACTTAAGCTTAAGTTGCCGCAAAAAGCCAGTGTTGTCGCTAATAACATCGTCGATAATGATCTTGTTTTTTATAGTATATATATATATATATATATATATATTATATATATATATATATATATATATATATATATATATATATATATATATATATTGTTAGCGGTTCAATCGATCAAACCAATTAACCATCATACTGGGAAGTTAACCATCATACTGGTAACTTGTTCTTTATCCGGTCCGATTTTTAAGACATTGGTAATAATTATAATAGTCAGTTCTACCTGGTTATATTAACTATTTTAACCGGGTTTATAACCCATTTTGTAGTAGTGGTTGTAATTTGTTCATTAAAAAAACAATATAGTAGCGAATAGCGATTGTGTTGTATATGTAAACTCCAACGTATAAGATATACTAGTGGAAATCTAGATATCTATGTCATCACTAAAAAGTTGTTGGATATTATATATACCAAATTTTGGGTTTTATGTTGAAAAGTCTCATTATTTTGGGAAATTTTTTGATAAAGTGCTAAAAATTATTTTTTTTACAGAAAAGTCTCATTATTTTGAGAAAATCACATAATCCGTCATTTGTTGTTCAAATATAAAAAATGGCTTTTTCTTTAATTTGGGAAAAATGTTAAATAATCAGGATTTTTCTGTTAAATTTTTTTTATGACTTTATTAAAAATTTTCCTAAAATAATAGGATTTTTCTTCATTAATCCGACGAACTTTTCAACCCATAGTATGTTATTACGAACATGTAATAAGACTTTTATTTAATTTCAACCATTGTCGTGTGGTTTCCAGGAACTACAAACAAGTGAAGAATACAATCGAATAACTTTGATGAGTATCCTTGTGGTTGATCGTAAAGTATCTCTTGTGGTCCTGCTATGTTTTTATTGATGAACGTTTTCGATCGACAAGGATATTCTTAGTTTCTTGTTTAGATACGCCAAGTTTAATCCAACAATCAGACTCATGGCATATTAAACAAACTCTCATCATCAATGGATCTTAACCATAATATCTATGGTCAATGTTTCAAGATCCTCAAGATATTTAATTGTAAGACTACCATGAAATGATGAAATAAAATGTCGCGAAGGATATCAAGTCATTGTCATGTAGAATATTATCAACATCTATCATGTTGGACCAGTTTTCATTTATTAGATTCCTGATAAGATGTTCTTCAAGAGGCTACTAGCAACCGGTTATTACTTGTTACCGACTTTAGATAACCTAACTACTTGCAACGGAATTTGATTTGTTTTTTGCTTTTGGAATGTGTAGACAGAAACAACTAAACTACTCGCATCAAAATAGACAACATAAAATGACAAAAACATAAAATTCGGTTTCGGGCTATGTTCTAACTTGAGATATGATTAATATCTTGGGGAGGCATGGGGATTGTATGTGCATGGAAGCCTTCATATGTTGTGACTACAACTCCTTCGTCCTTTGAAAGCCTTTGAACTTGCTTTTTCACGTTGCATCCTTTGTAGTTGCACTTGTAATAATTCCTACACATTAACAAACATATATTCATATAAGTGGTAAATTAGAATATTACATGTAAATTAGAATATTAAGGTAACATGTGAAAATAGGTTGAGTCAGAAATTTTTTTTTACTTGTTTTTAAACATTGTAAATTAGTAATGTGTGAAATATGATTATGAGAACAATTTAATATATATATATATATATATATATATATATATATATATATATATATATATATATATATATATATATATAGTATGTGTGTATGGAATAATTAGCCGGGAGCTAGTAATGGGTAACAAGTAGTTGAAAATTATAGCTTTTATTTTGTTATATAAGTGTTTGACAAAAATAACTGAAAACATTTGAAATATGTAAAATTACATTAAATGAAAATTAATTAAAAAAATATATTTTTAAGGATAATTTTGGAAAGACAAAATTACATAAATGGTCCTTGTGGTTGACACAATTAACCAACTTTGGTCCTTATGACAAATTTTTTTTGCGTAGATGGTCCCTGTAGTTTCAAAATCTTACAAAGTCAGTCCTTTTGGCTAACGGTGTTAACTTTTTAAGTTAAGTCCCCTGTGAAATGACCAATTTGTCATTCATGCCATAAGGACCATTTATGTAATTTGTTCCATCCATAGGGACCATTTATGTAACTTTGTCTATTATTTATTACTTTTTTATTTAATTTATTTATGTTTCTATGATTTAGAATTTTGTTGACGTTTTGTTCGAATATATTTTTAATTTTTTTTGCTTTCATTTTTTGATATTTTGTTTGTATAATTTTTACTAATTTTTTTTTGACGTTTTATTCGAATACATTTATTAATATTTCTTTTGAATTTTGAATTTTCGCTTGAATAACTTCTTTTTTTTGACGTTTTGTTAAAATATATTTTTTAATGATTTTTGTACATTTTATTTGCTTATATTAAAGATTTCATGATAACTATAGTCATATTTCGTACTTAATTCATTTACAATCATATTTTTCTATTTTTTTTTTGTTCTTTTAATATATACAGGTTATATAATTATTTTTTTTAATTCAAATATATAACTATATAACACATATAAGGTTATAATTTTTATTTTTGTAAAACTTTTTATAAACATTTTTCTTACATATATAAAAAACTTTGTTAAATGTGAATATGATTAATATAGATAGGATAATCGGAACATATATGGTAATCGAAAAAAATATGTCTAAAAGAATTAAATAACTCGAAAATACTAAAGTTAAGTCTAATGTGAAATGACATAGGTGATCTCGTCAAGACTACGCGTCAGTCTTAGGTTAGCCTATGCGTACCTAATTTATATTAATCATATTCACGTTTAACAATTTTTTTTTATATTTTTTTTCAAAAATGTTTATAAAAAGATCTACAAAAATAATTATTATACAACCTTATATGTGTTATATAGTTATTTATTTGAATTACAAAATAATACTTATAAAACCTTATGTATATTAAAAGAACAAAAAAAGAAAAATATGATTGTAAGTGAATTAAGTTAGGAATTATGATTATAATGACCATCAAATCTTTAATAAGTACAAACAAACAAAATGTAGAAAAAAAAACATTAAAAAATATATTCGAAAAAAAAGTAAAAAAAAAAATAGAAGAAATTATTCAAACAAAAAGTCAAAAGAAATATTAATAAATGTATTCGAAAAAATGTCAAAAAATTAGAAAACATTTATATGAACACAATATCAAAAAATGTAAGCGAAAAAATATACAAAAAAACATTAAATAATATATTCGAACAAAACATCAAAAAAAATCTAAATCATTGTAATATAAATAAATTAAATAAAAATAATAATAAATAATAGATGACATTACATAAATAGTCCTTGTAGCTAGAACAAAGTACATAAATAGTCTTTATGGTAGCAATGACAAATGTGTCATTTCACTAGAAACTTAACTGAAAAAGATTGTCTTTACAAGATTTTGAAACTACATAGACCATCTATGCATAAAATTTGTCATAAAGACCAGAGTTGGTCAATTGTGTCAACCACAAAGACCATTTATGTAATTTTGTCTTTTTGGCTAACAGTGTTAGCCAAAAAGATTGTCTTTACAAGATTTTGAAACTACATAGACCATCTATGCATAAAATTTGTCATAAAGACCAGAGTTGGTCAATTGTGTCAACCACAAAGACCATTTATGTAATTTTGTCTTTTGGAAATTAATTAAAAAACCTATATGAAATAGCTTCTAGATTTAAAGTTTTGTTTAAACTAAAAATGTTTGTAGAAAATTTTTGTTAAAAACTAAAATCTAAAACATGTCAAACACTCGCTACCAAACATGTCTACAGTATGTTTATCAATTTGCTTGATTAGATAATAGATATAATGTGTAATCCAACTTGATACATTTAATGGCAGAAATTACTAATTCTAATGTTTGGTTTTATTATATTTGTAAGAAATCAAATTCTCATCGATTTTTCGACTATATATTTTTTATTTTGTTCCAAATTATCCATAAATACACTAATTTGTATAACTATAATGGACATCGGGTCATTATAGTTTCGCTACAAAATAAAATACACATTAAAATTCAGTTCACATATCGTGATATATTTGCTTTTTTTTATTCCAACAAGAAAACAGTTAAAAATAAATTACAAATACGGACGTTAGAATAATATTCGTTCTTTTGAAAACATTTGCTACTCATTTAGTCATTTTGTATGCTAAAGTTTATTACTAAATTATTTTGGTGTTCAAATGTCGTATTTATATATCATCCAGTAACTTAAAGCAAAAACAAATATTTCAACAACTTTGATATAATTTCTCGGATTTCTAGGAAATATATTTTGCATAAGGAAGGGATGGAAAGAAATTAACCTGGCAAATTTGTTGTTTTTAACAATTTTTTGGCCGTATTTTCGCCATTTATAACCATCATCAAGAATGTCTACTTGGCTCCTTGTTTGGAATGCTATTTTCGGGTTCTTGGCTTTCATCTCGATCTTTTTATCACAACCAACACCCGCCACTTCTGGTGATTCCACCACCACGTTGCCGCCTTCCAACAACCATGGTTTTCCCATTATGTCATCATCTTCATCAACTTGACAAGCCATTTGATTTATCATCACATTTGACTGGTTTCCATGATCGGTTTTAATCACATCTGAGCTAGTGGTGTCTGGTATAAATAATGCATTTGACCATAAGTTGTGATCAAAAGCAGTGGTCATTTTAGTATCAGCAGAAGAGGTTTTAAAACAATTACATAAGTTGTGATCAAAAGCAGTGGTCATTTTAGTATCAGCAGAAGAGGTTTTAAAACAATTAAAATTCATAAAGTAAGAAAATGTGGCTTGATATCTTAATATATAGTATTGGTCAAATATGGTGTCCGACCAAGAGTACTACTGAACGTTGAATGGTGACTGCTCCATAATAAAGAGAGGAAATAGCTACCTCATTTCCTTCAGACCATCACAGTCACCACTACACTAGAGACAACTTCACTACATCCTACGCAATTAAAACTAGCTTGTTTCATTTTAAAGTTTTATATACATAAAGATCGATGCATACATATTAATTTGACAAATTTTAGTTTATGTTGGTTTATTAATTTGTAGTTTGGTTTATGTCAAAAAATTTGATAGTTTGTAACTTTTGCTTATATTGATGTGTTGGTAGTTTAGTAGTTTTGGCATTTTGATTAACGTTGATTTCTTGGTAAATATTAGTCTAGTAGTTGGTAAATTTTAGTATAATATTTTGGTTAATGTTGATATTTAAGTTAACGTTGATTTCTTAATAAACGTTAGTTTAATAGCTAGTTGGGTTTTTGGCACTGTTGTATAACAATGTTTTAGCAATTTGTTTAGTCCCTCATCTTTTATTTTTGTGTGCTAAATTGGTCCTTAACGTTAGTAAATACCGGCTAATTACACCTTATTCACCCGGTAAATGGAGCAATTGGTTGTATTTCTTATGTGACATTACATTAAATAAGATTTCTTATCTTACTTCATCCACATATGAAATCGAAGTCAAAATAATTATATTTATTTAGGTGGTGTTTGTTTTTTTTTAAAATACCTCTTCAAATCTCTTAGTGTTGTGCGGCGCAGCACACGCGCATCACTTTTAAGTTCGCAACAGTTTGTTTTTTAAAAGACTTCGGACTCAAAAACCTCTTACGGTCCTCTTCCCCACACAACATTGGGCTTGGCTCTTCTCACCTCTTCTAACCTAATCTAAACAAAAAAAACGCCCTAAACAAAAAAAAAAAAGAAACGCGGAAGATCGCTCCAGCCGTTCTCCTTCTTCGTTCGTTCTCCTTCTTCGTTCTCAGCTCTCTTCTCGTCGATCGCCGACTCCAGCCGCTCGTCGGTCGCCGCCGCTGCTGCCCGGTGCTCGTTTTTTGCTGCCATCGTCTTCAACATCGACAGGTTAGGTTTTTTTTTTTCTGATTTTTTATTTTAGTACCGATTTTATGTTGTGTAGTACCAAATTTCTGCTTTGAGTACCAATATTGTTGCTGAGATGTGAAGAATCTTTGCTAAAATCTTTGTTGAATGTTGATTTATGATATAATTTGTCACACCCCCGGACCAGACGGCGGAAACGTCCGAAGGCGGGTGACTTCATTGTGCAGTATCATAACAATTGAATATAAATGAAACAGAGCAATCCAAACATCATACATTGAGATAACAAACTTACATTGTTTACATACTGTATTTGTTCTTCGAGTTACACAAAAGAGACATAAGCAAAAAATCCAAGCTACAGCTAAAAATCTTGCCTCCGCGTCCTTTGTTACTTGCTTATTAGATCCCTGAGAATACAAGTCGTTTTGAAAAGCGTCAAGTAAAAAGTTGGTGAGTTCATAAGCATTTTTGTATAAAATCGTTTACACTTGTTTAGAATCGTTCGTATTGTACTTTCAGAAAATCCGATATTTTCTATGAAATCGTTTGAAGTCTTGCCTTGAAAATCATGGATATATGTGTGCATGTCATTACTTTTGTTCATCCTTATAAGGAGTGATCTTTGAAAAGTATTGTAATTTGTGAAAGCGAGTTGTGTTCGAGAATAGCTCTTTTGAATAGTAAAAATCAACCGTTTCCAGAAAAATCTCTTATTTTCAAAAAGGAAATATGGTTGAAAATATTGTTCCTCTTATCGAGTAAAATTGAATGTGCGTTCTAGTTTATCGTTATCGAAATCGTAGAAAAATCGTTCTCTCCAGAAAATCCTATATTTTCTGCTATAAAATATTCGTAAGTTCTAGTTTATCGTTATCGAAATCGTAGAAAATCGTTTTCCCCAGAAAATCCTATATTTCCTGCTATAAAATAATCGTAAGTTCTAGTTTCCAACTATGTATATGTGTGGGTTAGTTTATCGTTATCAAACCGTTTACAAACGTTTTCCATAGAGTCCTACGTTTTTTAATTTGTAAAAATAGCAGTAGTACGACTCTATACTATTTAGGAGAAAGAATCAACATGGCTATTGTGGACATTCTACTCGATGAAGAAGGACAGTCAACACAACAAATGCGGACCATCACCTATCATGTGTAGGACAGTCAACACAACGTGCCAAAATTTATTTATGAGGTTTTCCTTACATAAATTTCTAGTTAATAAAACATGTTCTAGTGAGTCGTTATAACCATACTAATCTGACGAAGTGCTTGTTTTGGCATTTTTCAGGAGCCCTCGGTTTGGAAAAGACATTTGTCACCCTAGACTGGCCTGTCTAACTGTAGCGAACAGCGAAGGTGCGGGGTGTCAACCCCGTATAGATCTATACACAAATTCTCGCTCTCCCTCCAGGAGAGTCTGGCTATAACTCCTTACAGGACTTAGACGTACACTAATATTTTTATATTTAGGTACTTTTGAGATTTGTCTGACTAGAATATTAACAACCTTTTGAGCAATCGTTAGAGATCCATTATTTGTTAGATAAATAATGAAATTCGTACTTGTTGAATAAAAATATCGTTCTCGTTCCATATCGTTGATTGTGCTCGTTAACTAGGTGCTCGTGTTCGTTCCTTTTCGTTTATTGAAAAATAAGTCATTTTAGTCAAGAGAAAAAGAGTCAAGTTATAATTTGTATAAATTTATAACTGCCGGTTATGACACGCATTTTCTGTTTTATGACATGTAGAACATTACTTATGTTGTTGGAGGTTTTACGACAGCAGTTTATGACATGCAAATATTTCTGTCATAAAGGCTCTATTTATGTATTTTCTTGACGCAAACTTTTATGTTGAATATTTATAAAATACTCCCTGATAGTTTGCAAAATAGTCACAAAAGTTTCTATTTTCGAAAAATCACTAGAAATGGTGTCCACTTAGTAAGGTCCCTTTTTATAAATTTTATCTTTAGACATGAAAGCATAGATAAAGGGTTAAGTTGGACACACTCAATAGTTGGGAGGCTCTTTTGCACAAATTATCCTCTGTTCTTTATGAAATTGAGAAATCCTACGTTCATGAGTATATTACTAAAATATTAATTTAATAATATTTCACACACACATACAAACATACGTATATATGCAATCATTTAAGAGTTTAGGCAAGATTTGACTTGTACTCTCCCCCAAAAACATTAAAACATTGAAAAAGGTAGGGTATGAAGGTCACCTTGAGTTGGTTGAGGAGTTGTTTGGAGTTATGGAGTGAAGATCTCAAGCTTAAACTTTTGGCTGAGATGAAGAACTTCCCTAGGAGGGATGTTTTCCTAAGGATGATCATCACATATTATTATGAGCAAAATAATATGGATCCATCTTGAAATATTATAAAATATTAGATGAGTGGAGGAATTTACCTTAAAATTTCCCAGGAAGAAGTTGAGAAATTTCCTTTCAGCAAGATCCCCTGTTCTTGCTTGAAGATGAGTTTTTGAGAGAAAATGGGAAAAGTGTGGGAGAATGTGAAGTCTAAACTCCTTAATGTCGTTGCTTTGAGGATGAAAAGGGGAGGGAATCTTTGGTGCATGGGTATCTGGTGGTCCATGCATGGATATTTGGTGGGTAAAGCATGGAATACTGTGATTTGCATGGGAAATGAGAACTCCATCAAATCACAAAGTCAACCTCTTTGTCCTTATCTTGATTTAGGATAAGGTTTTCCTAAATCCTAAGCTTTTATTTTATGTAAATATAATTTAAATAATTAAATTTGGCATTAAATAAAGGCTTTAGGGGTCTTAGTTAAGAAAAACACGAGTTTGGTGGGATTCCCGACCTCAAAATACCCCAAAATGAAGAAAATGTCCGGAATAGTCCAAAATTCGGAGCTAAATGGTGAAATCCGGAGCCATTATGCGAATTCTGAAGTTGTAGTTAAAATTTCCGGAGCATTTCTCAAAATTCCGGAGTCAACAAGAGGGTTTCGAAGTGTAATTCCTCTTGGCTCCTAAGAAGGTATTCCGGACTAAGAGGGTTCCGGACCAAGAGGTTCAGGAGCAAGAGGTTCAGGAGCAAGATGTTCAGGAGCAAGAGGTTTAGGACCAAGAGGGTTCCGGACTAAGAGGGTTCCGGACCAAGAGGGTCCTTTTGAGGTTCCTCTTCCGGTTTTGAGCTGTTTTCGACAAAGGAAGGTGCTTAGAGAGATTTGAGAGAGATTTGAGATACATGGAGAGATTTGGGAGAGATTTCACATTCTTGGAGAGATTTGGGAGAGATTTCACATACTTGGAGAGATTTCGCATATGGGAGAGATTTGGGAGAGATTCCACATACTTGGAGAGATTTGGGAGAGATTTCACATGCTTGGAGAGAATTGGGAGAGATTTCACATACTTGGAGAGTTTTCATTCTAACACTTCATGGATCATTAGGAACTCATATTGTAAACTTAGAAGTGTTAGCACAAGTCTCACAATAGTACTTGCTTACTTGAGGACGAAATTTCCTAGCCAAAAGGGCTAGTTGTGACATAATTGTTCTTATAGCAAATTTTCTGCTCAAATTTATATTTTGGTTTTATGAATTTTTGTGTTGAATTGGTATGAATGTTTGGTAAAATCATAAATCTCTGCTGAAGTCATATATTTATATGCTGAAACCATAAACTTATATGCAATTTTATATGTTGAAATCATAAATCTTTGTTGAATAAGTCTTTGCTGAAATGAGTTTTTTTAAACTTATTTTCTAAATTGTTATCACTTGTATTGCTTGAATGGAGATCATGTTTATGCTTATATGCATGTTTGTGCTTAAATCGTTGAATATGCTAAAATTATTTGTTCATTGTGTTGTATAA